TCATTCCCCAGGGTCCCTATCAGAGGGTAAAGGCTAGGTAAGTAAACAGGGGAATACTGTGCCCATAACTCGATGAGACTATTCAGGATTGACTCAAAGCCAGACTTTTATCCTTTCAACAAGACAGAACAAGAGGTAGGAGAAAAAAAGGAAAAGGAAAGGGGAAGAAGAATAGGCTAAGCAAGACTAATTGAGCAGAGGGCCTCAGTCTCCATCTCATATGTCCCCTCCATGCCATAAATGGGCATGGGATTAGGGAGCTGATAAAAAGTAAGGCAAGCAATGGTCAATAAACACAGACCAAGACAAACCATGCATAGATACTCCTGTTAGATAAAAATCCTGTTCATATAAAATATACTGTTTTAATTACAAATATCAAAAGCTGATTCATAAAACTGTACACTCTTATTAAAAAACAATAAAAAGTTTTCTGACTGTTACTGTTACACGGATGCATAATTTTCTGAATGACTTTAAATCAGCTCTGATTTCATTATCAATATGATACTGACAACTTTTACTCACAAAGCATTATTGAATAAGAACACATCTTTTCATGGTATCACTGGAACAGCCAAATGTAAACTGATAATGTTAAAATATCCAATCATGATAAACATTTCCTACATTTTTGATATGAAAGGAGTGTGACTTATCCAACAATAACTAAAAGAAAATGAATAACTTTAGTAGCTACACATGAAATAGAAACTTTGACTTTCCAACTATTTTCCTCATAATTTATCCTAATATTAATTTTCCTTTACATGAACTAGTTATTGCCTAATAATAATGTAGTCACCCTAGTATTAGCTGACAGATTATTTTTCCTCCTCTGCCTAATATAGGCTACTTAATCCCTAACACCTTTTTCTAGCAAATGAAGCCTTACCTCAGATTCATCTTATATTCTTGGCAAAGTGTGTAGCTGAACTTCTTTTATATTTCCCCAGGTAATGTTATAATTTTCTAAACCACAAGAATAAATAATGTTTCTCTAGCATCAGATAGTAAATGTTGAATATATAGGGAAACCCACTATATACGAGACAGAGACTGTGTCAGAAAATGCATAGTCGAGTAGGCTACGTCAGGCCATATAGCGCGTCTTAGCAATGGATTTTATTCCTGCATGGAACATTCAATAAATCAATGGTAAAGAATGCTAGATATCATATTATGGCACTGGGATGTTTTGCTTTGACGTTTTCTTTTTATTTGTTGCAGCCTTGTGCACCATGCTCTCTTGGTATTTATGGCATGGAGTTCTCTTTTTCAAGGATTATCTCCTCAACATAATAAGTATAAAAGGAGGCTGCCCATTTTGAAAGATACAAGCAAAGAAGGCTTCACTAACATTGTTTCAGTAAAAATTGCAGTTTTCAGGAGACTAACCCCATCAAATTAGGTTCAACTGTAAGTGTTGTTAGATATGTGAATAATAGAAGTTTCATATCTGATTTTCCTGGTACCAACAGCTTTAGTAACACATAGCTAATCTTACTTTTTGGAAGGAAATCTGTACAACAAGCCTCACTCACTCATATGCATGATGCATCCCAAGAAGGAAATGGAAATCATTTTCAAGTTGGTCAAACAAAATACTTCAAGGAAGGATAACACAGATATATATTATGGAAACCAGGAGTGTGTGAAAATCCTACTATTACTAATTTGGTGAAGTAGTAGAAGGGAAAAAAAGGGAAAATTGTGGAGGTAGTCCATAGTAAGAAAAGGTAGTGAGAGGGAAGAATGAATAACAGGAATACTTAATAAATTTGAACTGCTGTACAAAACTCAGGATTTGTGTCCAAGTGCTATTATCAATTTCATACTTATTGACAAAATTCATCTCCTAAGGGTTCCAGTATTGAATTCAGTTCAATAAGCAACAATTCACATACTTACATATATTCATAAGACAAGTATTTTTCAATTTGCCTTATAACTTTTTAAAAGTTATTAAGGTTTCTTAGTTCTAATACCAATAACTTTTCTCTAGTAACTATTCCTACTTCCTATTCTCTTCACTGAAACACAATTTCAGTGTCATCAAGATCAAGAAAGTTTTCATTACCTGCCATCATAAAAAAGCACATAGTATCCAACTGCTTCTTGAGCATAGCAAGAAATAAATTAGCATAATCTACTATTTGACCTCAGTTATAAATATCAACACATAGCTATGTATAACTTTTGTTTGGTTAACCCACTAACGACGGGTGTCCCACATATGAGACACCTGAAAAAATAAACATTGCCGGGTGTCCCGCCAGTGTGACGCTGTATTGGGGCTCGCGCTCCAACACAGCAGCGGGCCACGGCAGGCGGGCAGGCAGACTCCGGGGCATCCCCACCGCCGATTTTGTAGCCGCCCGGAATCTTTTATTTTTGGCTTCAAAATATACCAGCGTTAATGGATTAAAGAAAACATGAAGTCAATAATGTTCCCAAAGATTCACACTTACATGAGCTAGTTTTCTTTTGTAGTAATTATTAAAGTGTTTTGTATCCTTTCCAAGCTTCTTTCATGTCAATTTGACTCTTATGGTAAATAGGTAAAAGATCTAAATCAGGGGTGTCAAATTAGCAGCCTGCCACACTCCTATATGCGGCCCTTGGCACAATAACTATTTCAGTCTTATAGTCAGCCATATTACATGATTAATGAAGCCTTAATGACTTACACAAAGGGGTCAAACTAATGGCCCATGGACTGAATGTGGCCTTTGTGATGGTAATAAATGGCTCACAGGGTGACAAGAATCCTTATTAGCCTGTGAAAAAATTATCATCATGAAGGAAAATGATATATGATTAATATACTGAGAATTCATAAATAAGGTTTATTTCATAATGGTAATATTTCTATTTATATTGCTATTGTTAGCAATACCGCTATCATAACGGAGAGAAACAGATCATATAAAATGAAAATCCTTAAACGGCTTTAAAGCAAGAATGAAGATAAACATTTTACACAGAAGAAAATCACTTTGCAGTTATTGAAAATTAAAGTAAATGATGCAAGATGCATGGTAGTTTTTGTTATGCATGTATGACATAGCAAATTAGACCTCTTATGTTTAAATGCTAAAATGAAATTGTATATTGTACATGATTAATGCACTACTATCAATGTCATTCAATTAGTAAATTTTTAGGTACAAGTAAGGAATATTAATAATGTAATCCTGGGAGCCAGTTATGTACCTTTGTTGCCCCTGAAAGAAAGTAGCTGAGATGAAAATTGGCCTTCAAAGAGTTTTGAGTCTGAAACCCCTGATCTAGATGCTAATATATCAGGTGAGAAGAAAGATCATCCTTATATTTAAAAACTATTTTCAAACAATTCCTCACAACCTTTTCTGCTATGGTTTCCACCTTGTTAATTTCTGTTGAAAATCATAGACACATGCTGTAGGTAAATAATATGATTAAGTTTTCTATATCTTGGAACTGCTGTATAGACCCATTATAATGTGATATACCATAATATATATATATATATATATATATATATATATATATATATATATATATATATATATATATATATATATATATATATATATATATATAAATATAATACGTTTAATCTGAGATTACATATGATATTAACTGATAAATAACTATAAATAATACCACAATCAAGGCATTTTGAGATAAAGATAAGACGAACCTGAAAAAGAATGGAAATGTCAACATAAACAAACCTCATTTCAAAGGAAGAAAATGTAGGCACTAAAAGGATACATTCATTATATGGAGATAAATCCAAATCCAAGATCGGAGCAGTGTGGGCGTACACTTCACCAACACACTGGTGACTCTCTGGATATCGCCGGTATCTGTTTACTGAACGACCTGTACAGAGTAATTAATTATAAGTATTTGCATGCATTCTTTCTTCAATATTTGTATATCCATTAGGCATTAATATCTATTATACATCTGTTTTCAGCACAACTATACTGAGGCACACACCTTGAGCAGAATAAAGGAGACCTCCACTGTGAGTGTACTTCATGCGAGACACACGGCTGGGACTCACTTGTTTGCTCTCCCACTTCCAGGGACGTTCACCTACACACCAACAGACTAGGCCTTCACCTGTGCTTGCCATCATCACACCTGAAAATGTAACAGGAACCTTATTCCTTAAATCTATTCGAGGTTTTCTTACCATGTGATACTATGTAAGACTTACAGTACAGAAACTGTCAATCAAGTAGTTAATATTTTTCTGAAAACTGATTCAGCTAATACACGTGGATCTAAATAAAATCATTAAGATTTGGAAACAGTACTGTGGATTATTAAATTTAAGCTTGAGTAACACCTGTGAAGAGAACTATAAAAGAAAGCAGAAAACAATATTACCAACTAGTCTATGACTGGTTATTTTTGTAAAGTCTAAGGCATATCATGAAGAAGTTAGAGGTTCAGTTTTACCCAATAATTACATAACCATATACAGCACTTGCTAGAGGAGGTTCAGATCTTAATCAAATTTCCTATTCATGTGTACCTTGTATCAGATAGCACTAAAAATTGGGACTTTCATATTTAGTAATTTTCTTCACATCACATGGAGGGCTAGATTCTTAACTGCGTAGTTCTAAGGTTAAATAATGTATCAACAAAGATGAAGGATTTTAAATGAATTAAGTTCACCCTATGATTTAACTCAACAGGTGCGGGTCCAGATTATTTTAAATCAACGTATCTTCATATGTAGGTCTAAAGTATACTTGAAGGTTTGTTGTAATCTCAGTTTAGACCCATTCATCATATGACCCAGATGATTAACCAAATTAGACAATGCCAAATGTTTACATCAGAATCACACACAAAAGAGTTCATGCTTCTTTGATTTGGAAGATATTTTCCTTCACGAACAAACAGCATGAGCATTATGCTTATTCAACAATACTCACTAGGATAACCCTGGGATACAGTGGTGTTGTATGGTTCCGGGGAGGGTGCTAGGCAAGTCACAGGAGGTAAGTTTTGGTTGTAGTGAAGGCACACAGTGGACGCCCATCCACGCTGTTCACTTTCACCTGACCAACAGACGACCCAGAAACCAACACAGGTTTCCCTGAGCCCCATGGCCATGATCCATCCAGGAAGCACAGGTCATTTATGCTGTCCTCATGTAAAAATAAAAACAACTATTACTATTATGAAGGTATAAGTATAATATCTATCAATATATATCCCCTATTAAGACCTGAAAAACATTTGCTTCTGTACAATTTTCTATTTATGTTATTATCTTCATACTATATAATAATCAAACATCTCTAATAAAATGGGGACCTGGTCACTTTTTCCTATTAAAATCCTAAAATTCAATTTAATCTACAAGAATGCATTATACAAAATAATACAGACCTATACTTGATGTTATTTAATCCAAGTCTTATCAATATTACAACCAATCAAAACAAAATTAATTCACAATTTTTCAACTGCTAATTCCAAAGCCCAGAGGTAGTCCCAACAAAATTCAAAGTAAGTGATGCATTATTAAGCTAAGGTAAGTTGCCACTTAGTAATTTCTTCTAATTCCACGCAAGTGAACAATCGAAGTGCCAAAGTATTTTGCTCATCGGTTGGGCTGGTAGATAGGTCTCTATTGCAAAGTCAGGTAAACAGCAGAGTAACAAATGCAACTTATGGCATGCTTAACCCACTAGCGATAGTATATTTTGAAACCGAAAATAATAGTTTCTGGGCAGCTTTAAAATCGGCGCGTGGGGCTGGCCTGGAATCTGCCCACTTGCCGGCCATGGCCCGCGACGAAATCGGAGCGCAAGCTTAGATCCAGTGTCACACCGGCGGGACGCCTGGCAATTTCTTTTTTTCACGTGTCTCATATGTGGGACACCCATCGTAAATGGGTTAAGGACCAAAATAATAGCAAGACCAAAATTGATGGAGCAAAATTTAAATGACTAAAGAAGATTGTGCAAACAATCAAAAACAATTTACAGAATTAACTTGATGTGTATCATTATCAAAATATCCCAAAAGTACAGTTGTACAATAAAACTAATTTGTGGCAAATTTGTGTATAGTCTGCCCTTTCTTATCATTGGATACAAATAAAAGAAAAATATTTATTTTAATCACATTTGAGGGTTTGCTAATTTACTATCAATTCACTTCTAACCAATTCTATGTCAGCAGTATACCCATAAAAGCTTAGTAGTATATATGCCTTATCATCAATAAGCTGAAATGAATTCTTGCCAATGCAATTGCTAATGCAGTTATAGAACTGAATGGGATACATATGATGTACCATCTTGTTCTAACATGTAAGAGCATTTAATTATAAATATAATGATAAGAAGAGAAACACCTACTGTTAAATATCTGATCAGCTATCAGTATTGCTTTCTTAATAGTACTATTCATTTTCTGACTTTTACAAAAAGAAAACATATCAGATCCACTAACCTTTCCCGATATAAGTAAATTTCATTAATCCATATCTAGTAATCTATGACTAATAAGCTTAATGTAGCAGCAACATTTCCCTAATAGTACAAGAAAGGTAATGAAAGTGGCCTACACTCAAATAACAATACACTACACACAGCAAACCATATTAGATTTTTCCTACATATACTTCTAGGATTCACCATCTTCACAAAACTTTCATTATGACTGCTTTTATAACCACAAGGTAGCCCTCGACAACAAAATCTAAACTCATCCACTCATGTTGAGCCCGACCCATGATTCTTAAATACAGATATTTTTAGTACTGTACAAGGGTTAGTGTGGTCATACAGACTTGCAAACTTGAAATAAGGATGGTGAATTTAGAACATATCTAATGCAACAACTTACATCATAGATAAAATCGAATGGCAGTGGCATCCTGAGATCCAAAAGGGTAATCCCCCTTGCATTAACTGTAATGCAGGCAGCTAGATAGGGCTGACCGGGGTGCATCACCAATGGTTGCCGACCTTCCCCTGGACTAACACAGTTATCATATGCCAATACAGGAGTTCCTCTCTCCACATCCACAATGCTGACTTTCCGGGAGACAGATGTTGCAATGACCTGCAGTAAACATAAGGAAAATACTATGCACACTAACAAATAACTACAGTCTCATGACAAGGAAATATTATTATTTCTTTGTTACACAAAACTGCAAATCTCAATATAAGCATTTAAAGAACAGGTAGAAGAAAATGTTAAGAATTTTAACTAGCTATAATACTAAGCCAAAAAGGTTTTATACATATTCAGCCAAACAAACAATTCTGTCCATCTTACCTTTGATCCATCAGGAGAGAAGGTAAGGGCATTAAGGGCACGTGCCAAGCTAAGAGTAGCAAGAGAAACTGTGCGCACTAATTCTCCTCTTAGGGCACTTAGTATTGCTATCTCTCCATCACTCCCACCAAAAGCAAACGTGTACCGATCCTGTTAACAATTAGACAATTGTTAATTTATAAATTCATATAAATAAATGCTAATATATAAATTTGCATTACATCTTGAATTACAGATACTTATTAAAATAAAAATAACAATAAACAGAAATTACATCAAAATAAGCTAAAGAAAAAATGTATCAATAAAAATATAATCATACCATTGAAGACACACAGATATGATTCACATTTCTCATCTTTCTAATAGCAATTTAGTTTCAACATAGTAAACCAGTTTGATAAAATCTTTACATTTTGTGAAAATGATTATTCAGTCTAAGCATGGACTGGTTCCTTCAATGCTTGCACCTGAAGGCAGAGCTTCTTCATAACTGATATCTAAATAACTTGAATTAATAAAAAGTTAAATCAACAAACCTGTTATCATTTTTAAAGACCTCCTACAATGTTCCTGTTCTCTACCATTTGCATTATTTACAAAACAAAATCATTGCTAAGAATCATTAGTTGTAGATAAACAAACTTTCATTTAGATTACCCAAAGAAATGCATGCCCAAATTATTTCATTAAATAACATTTGGTGTAAAGCAAATTAGGAAAAAATAGAAGACAATATATTAAGAGGCTGGTTTGGGAAATATATCCAACAATTTAAATAGCCAAAGAAAAGAGAGAAAAACAATTGTTCTAGAATAAGAGAAATTATCCATAATTTGAAAATCCCAAGCCTGATTTATATCAAAAGGAAATATTTCTTAACTTGTGATCAGATTAAATGGTTTATGTTTCTTTCCCTATGGGTGGTATTGGGATATTTTTTATCACTGACACATCAATTGCACTTCTTTATTCTTTTTTTAGATAATTCACCCACTTCACAAGACTAATAAAGAAAGATATGAACAAGGTCAAGATATCAGTCACTTGAAAAAAATAATGTAAAGACAGTATATCTTCAAATATTCTTTGCATCAGCAATATTTTTGATGACCAAAGGTGATACATGAAATATAAAAAATTAATGTTTGACAGATAAATTAAACCATTTTTGAAAAGTTTCGGATTCTGAAGCAGGAGCTCCTTCATTTGTGTTTTTAATTATGTTAAAATGATAACCTGTTGGAGGAGAGGATAGGGGTAAATCAATACCATTTCTGATTTAAATTAATTGAACAGCATAGTTTATGAGTAACAGGTTAAGAACCATCCACATAGTTTCAGAGCAAACACATTTCTTACAATGATTTGCAGTGCAGTCCCCCTTGGAACTCAATGCTCAGAACCTGGATGTTCCCCTGGAAGCAGAGGGGCTAATGATCATATAAGGAAACTACTACCAAAGTTATGAACTCTGATTATTGATCCAGCAAAGACACTGCTATATCCTATCAAAGATATTGTCATGTGAATGAGATTAACTTTCATATGAATACTACTGGTAGGAAATATGAATAATTTCTTTGTACAAGTTACAGGGATTCATTTATGCAACATATTGTCTTGGTGAAGTTTAACTTTTTTCTTTTCATGTGAAAAAATGTCTCAAATCACAACATAACCACAAAATTTAACATAAATGATAAATATGTGATAAATATGTTATGTATGTTATGTTACGTGATTGTATTTATGTTATGTGATTGTGAATTTGAAATAAAACATCAAAATATACTGTTTAAAATAGATGCAAAATCATATAAAAAGAATATTCCTCATATAAACTGCCACAAATCACTGTAAAAATCTGTTGAGGTGAGAAACAAAACTATATAGAAGTACACATTGGAAATATAACAAATATAATCAATAACATATTTGTGAAATTTACAATATAACAAATGTTATTATCCTAACCCATGCACTACTCATTGCAGTGCTGTTTTGTTGATTCTGATTACAAATAGATGTCTTCACAAGAACATTTTTTTGAATAAAGAGTCAGTTAGTAAGCTGACCTGACTTTATGATTACCCCATTCCTTGAATTTTCAGATTTTTTTCTATATTACTATTGTAATTCTTGTCATTATTAACAATGCTATCGACAATAGTAATATGTGAAATCAGGTTGGCCTATTAACTGACACTACTGGAGCCATCTACATGTAAACAAAATAAATAAACTAAAACCAAAATTGGCTAGCTATGAATGTAACATGTTAAGCACTGATGAATAATCTATATTAGCTTTTCTTTTACACAAGGCACTTACATGATATACTACTACTTTTACTGGTAAATATAAATATGAAAAGAGAGAAACCAAGAGAGAAAAAAAATATCATGATATTTGTTGATAACATCAAAACAAATCAAATATATAGGAATAAGAGCATACTAATGGTATGGTAAGACTTTTTGAAAAGTTTAGATTATATATATATATATATATATATATATATATATATATATATATATAATATATATATATATATATATATATATATATATATATATATATAATGATGACAGGATTTAATCATTTGTTCTCTACAAATCACATACTTGAAGTACCTACTTTTATTAACCACAATTCATACTTGTAAGAACATGAAATTAAAAATTCAGTAAAATATCTGGTACTTGAAATATATCCATTGCAATTTTACATTCTTTGGGAATCACTCAAGAAGTAGCTTCTTTTTATTTCTGTCTTAAAAACACTTCCCCTAAAAGTTACTGGAACAACTAGAGAGTAACTATAAAATTCAATAAATTTACCTTGGGATGGAATGCACAGCATACTGGAGAATTACTTTTCTGGTGCAGAAACTGCACGCTGCCCTCCTCCTGCATCCTACTGCAGTGTCTATTGCTGCTACTTGCATCACAACCACAAAGACAGGTGGGTTGTCAGGCACACCCTCAACAACTTAAGTTCCTCTTCATTCTGTAAACTGTATCAAATGAAGATATAGAAGATATAAATGGTATAGATGGAGACACCAGTGATCTATATATATATTTCTGTGAGATTTCAGCAAGTGGTAAGATACCCTTGGTATCAATACTTCCACAAGACAAAGACACAGCAAATGATATGTGTATAAAAATATTATCTCCACTGTTTATGATTTACCAAAAATTCATGAAATGTGCAGGAAAAATAAATGCAGTCCTATTTTATTGGACTATCCATGGCCATTTTCATTCTGCATCTAATCATATTATGTGAAATAGTGCTTGCAGTATAATTTGAAAGGATAGCATATACCAGGCTTTTTACAAAACCTACATTAATTCTGCTGTGCAAGTTATATGTACAGTCATATTAATTTTCCATAAAAAATCAGTGACATTCAAGTACCTTTATCTATCACTGGCTCTGATTTCTATCAAATCTCGAATAGTGTTACTTTCTAGTTATATACATTTATCAATAATATCATACAAAAACTGTTCTATTAATACAAAATCTTTCACCAAAGCTGTCTATCTAATAAATGACACCAGGAGAGGATAATGATTAAAATGCTACTCTAAATCTCATATCAAACTTGGATAGAGGAGACATTATGTAAAAAAAATATATATATATCTTCACCATTTTCAGTGTTTCTTCAAAGATAAATAATGTTAATTATCAAGAAGATATTTGTGTCTTGCATTATCCACTACAAGTCTGCCAGTGGCAGACTGTCTTTTGGTGTATTTGCCAATAAAATTTTACACATAAATCTAAAAGAAAATTGAGCTTGTAAAACTCCTTGGTAAATTACTGTTGAATAATTACCTTGTCCAAGCACTATATTGCCCTACTACAAATGGCATTGGTTTGTCGGCATATGCCAAAGCACTGAAAGCAGAGCTGTGGTGATTAGACTGCAAAACTACCTTTGAGTGGCTGAAGGCCTTCCAGCAGAGATTAACCTAAGTTTCAAGTTCATTTTGACTGTATATGAGTGATAAATATGATAAAAGAGTCCAATTTTGAAAGCCAGTGCTGATATCTGTCCACCATTTTCCTAATGGTAATTATTTGACATTATTGCTACAGCCTTAACAATGAAGAGGATCCCTTCTCAAAAGTCGTAAGTTTACTGATAAGATGATACATAAAGATTTAGGTAATTTTTCTGAATACCTTCATATAAGAATGATTGCAACGATTTTGGTATCAATGAATTCCTCCTACTTTCTACTATCTAATTATATCGAAATTGTATCATAGTGACACCCCATTAGTGACAATTTTGGCCCTGATAAGAGGAGAGGGCATGAAAGGTCCTAGGGAAATTGCAGGGTACAATATGAATGAAATACAGTAAATACATAACTCATTCCTTTCATGCTCTCACCTGCTAACGGGGCCAAGAATGTGGGGGCTTGGGGGGTGGGGGTGTCCGTGACATAATCCCTACATGTGTGAGTGTATTAGAGGGTGAGAGGAGAGTCCATCAATACCAAAATCTTTGCAACTGGTTATCCGAAGGCATTGTGAAAAAATACTAAGATTTAATACAAAGGAGTATATCAACTAGACTTTATACCTACTGCAGACATATGTCAGCAATTATCTTTAAATCAAATAAATTTCTGAAATACGTTTAATCCTTCAACATGGATGCATTACCAGTCTTTCAGGAAATTAATGATCACCTACATTTGGTTTGCAGCCGACGACAGGGTCTTTAAAGAGCGGTTCTGAATGTCAATGGGCTTTAGGAAGACAATGGAAGAAAGACACGCTTTACCTACATGCCAGAACTGTCCGAATGCTTTTCATAAAAACACAGAATTAACAATGGAAGTCACTTGTTCCAATAAAGGGCAAAATTCGATCAGAAACTTCGCCACACACAGGAACCCCGACCTTCACCTTCGGGTCTTGCTCCATTTCGTCTCCGTTTTCGACTCCAAATTACCCCGATTCTCTTACATGACTTTGCTTTCTTGTACTATTAGCTAGTTTCATATAGTCTAACGAATGAACAACGACTGTAAGGGGAAATTACCTGTGGTTTTGTATCCAATAATCAGGACATAGATCGCAAGGCTTGACACTCAAAACAACCTTTAGAGGCGTTCTTGTAGGGGACTCAGATGCATACGCGG